GAGAGAGAGAGAGAGAGAGAGAGAGAGAGAGAGATACACATCCCAAACTCCTTTGGAATCCAAAAGGAGGGGAGAAAAACATCTGCAGCAAGTGCCCAGGGGAGTGATTTCAATGCCAATGGCCAAGGAGGGATGAGGCAAGCACCAGCCTAGCTGGGCAGTGGCCTCTGCCTCTGAATGCAGCCTTTGGTATACTTCCCAAACGTCCAAGTCATTGCCAGTCAAGCCATGTGACTGGCGAGTTTCAGGGCTTGGTGCTGGCATCGGAAGTTGCTGGAATTACCTGTGCCAGGACAAGTTGCAAAGGCAGAGGGAAGTGGTGGGCCCCAAAGGCAGCTGATTTTGATTGGGGCTGGGGTGGGGGTCCTGCTCCCTTTTTGAAGATTATAACCTGTACACACAGGAGAAGAGTCTTGGCATGCCCCTTCATTCACCAAACAAAAGCACTTGTGGTAACTGCCTCCCGGGAGACCCACTTCCCAGCTGTGGATTTTCCTCCCTGGAGTCAAACTGAACCACAGCCAGAAACCCATCCCCATTGGTTATTTTTGCCTCTAAGGAGGACGAACTTGTTATTTTAACATCTTGCCTTAAACCCTAGTGACAACTGGAGAAAAAGGCTGGTGGCTTTGCTCCACCACCTGGTTCCTCCTAGTTTGAAATGTTCACTGGAAACTTACGGGTCAGCACTGAAAGGGCACTAGCAAACGGAGTCTTTAAATATCCTGATCTTAAATGGACTGTTTGCTTAGATGCACAMTAGAAAGTTGTGAAAATGCAGCAGCAATTACCTAAGAATCCTCAGGAAGGGAATAAATCACCCCCACCCTGTCTTCCCCCCTGCTGCCCAGAGAAAGGTTGACTCAGGATCATCAAGGGGGTTTGGTTTGCGTTTTCCCAAAGAATGCAGGTGCTTGTTAAAGTCTTCTGTTGTAGTTTTCCTCTTCCCCACCCTCGGCCTCTAGACAGGCCCAGGGAGACCCCTTAGCAGACTCATTCATTTCCCTTCTGTTAATGGGAGTGGGATTGGCACATTATCCTGGGAGGCTCCAGAGGCRAGTAACAAATGGGAGGGCCAACCACTTTTCTGGGAGGGCAAAGGAATTGTCTAGCACCGCAGTGGCCAACTCAGTTTCAGGTCAGAAGGCTGTTTGGACCTAGCTTTGGAAGCTGTGTGACCTGAACATGTCATTCAACTTCTCGGAACCTGGGTTTTCTTATCTGTAAAATCAGATCCTCACACTGGATTGTTCTGAAGATTTCATCAAGTATTATTCATAACAGGTGCATAGCACCTGCTTCCCTGATAAGGATCTAATGAATATCTAGTTAAGGCAATGGCTCTAAGTCAGAAAAACAGCTTCCTATTAATGGACTGGGCTGACTTAGAGGACAGTGTCATGCAACCAGAAGGATCCAGGTGAAGGTGGCTACCTCTGAGGTTTCCAAAAAGGACTTCTGCATCCACTGAATGGCTGGCTGAGATGAACCCTGCTATCCCAGCTCCTGGTGGGTGGCTGGCGGGGGTAGATTGATGAAGGGAAGACCGTGAACCACAAGGCAGACATCTGGCTCTTGGCATAGAACCTTATGTGTGCCACCAAGACCGCCCATCGGACCCTGCATGGCCTCTGGAGTCTATTTTTACTCCTCGAATCTTACAGATCTGTTTTGTTAATCTCCTTATATTTGCTGTTTTGACTTCCCAGCGGCTTGCTAATCAGTTTGCCTATTTGACTCACAGGGTTCGCGTTTGTCACTGGGACTTAAACACACACTTGTTTTGATTTCTTTTTGTAAAATTAGAAGCGTTTGATGTAATGACTCTACCTAGACACAGCTGGTAAAATAAGAATAATGTTCAAGTTTGCATAGTTTAAACACAATGTAGACAATAATTAGAAGTGCTATCTTTAGATGTTTAGGATAAGCTTTTTCTCAGAATTGCAGTGAATTTTTTTTTTCCCCGAGCGGGGCTTTTTAGTGCATATACACAGAAATACTAAAAACGTAAGAAAATAGAGCAAATCAGCGAGCACTTTGGTCAACTTGAAAGACTGCAGGAAATAAACTAACTGATTTTAGATCTGCCTTTTTCGACTGAAAGCATAAAATCTTTACATCCCCCATCTTTTTCATGACTACCAGATGATAAAATAATTTTAGGTGACAGATTGGATGAGTTGCTACAATACCGTTGGAAGCAATCTTCAGCCCCTGCAGGGAGAGTAGCAGGGAGAACAAGGCAAATAATATAATTAATCATCAATTTCAGGAAAATTATCACATTTTTATTTCAGGTAACAAAAAAGATATAGTTGCGATACATGATGATCACAGAACCCAATCTAGCAAGGTCTGCACATGAATAGAAGTTCCTTCTTTCTTTAAATAAAAAAAATTAAAAAGCCAATTGTTTTAACTTTAATAGGCTATCACTGGCCTTGATAAGATCCTCAAATATATTCCTGAGCTCACAGATTCTCCAGATCAAGCCATCCAGCATTATGCAGACTTTCTCTCTGCATCCAGAAGAAAAATTCTCTTAGTAAAGAGGTGATATGAAATGTAAGACAGCACATCTGTATCTATCACTTTAAATTGCCTTCATGCTGTATCAACTTGTTTTATTTTGTGAGCCACAGTAATATCGAGAGACAACGCCTTCCTGTTTTTTTCGGTTTCTCTTTCTAATTAGATTGGCTTTGAGCTCCCGATCGCATGTCTCTGATCTTCAATTTTTTTTTTTCTCTGTGCCAAAAGACATTTAGGGAAAAGGGAACGTATTAAAGCAGTGAGTTGGGCTTTGACTTTTTGGAGTCCTAACTGGAGCTGTCTGAAGCTACCCTCGGTGTCAGTAAGGAGGAGGACTGATCCAGATGGAGGCTTCCAGAATGATACCCCAGAGAGAAGGTGCTCAGATAAAGACTTTTCTGAAGAGAAGTAGGTGCCGTCACCCACAGTGCTGTAGGAGCAAGACAGCCAGAGGGACAAGGGAAACTGTCATTGTAAAGAGCCAGGAAAGATGCCCTCAATAAGCAAGCATCTGGTCTTTGAAGTTCCTTCAAGAGGAAACAGAACTTTCCATGCCGTATGATCAGCAGGGTACAAACGCTCCCAGTGGAGGAACTCATGGGAAAATTCACTCCAAAGTGCGAATGGCTGATGGCAGAGCCTGGTTTTAGAATTTGCCACGGGCATGGGGATATGTGTTTGGGAGCGGAGGCCATTCAGGTCTCTGGCCAGTGGTCCTGGGACAAGCTGTGGGAGAAGGCAGGGGAAGAGGGTGGCAGGTGGGCAGGAGGAGTGTGGAACAGGAAGGAATCTGGATGAGAAATGCCTGGTTTACAAACACCGATCCATCTCCACATGCCTTAATTAAAAGAAAGAAATAGCATCCCCAGGAAGGCAGAGTGTGGGCAGAAGCCTTCATTAGGAGAACGGCCAGCTCAGCAGCATTTATCCAGACTCTTCTGCATTCTGCAGGCAAGCCGGCTGGGACAATGAGTGGACAGACACACCTGTAGAGCCTAACAGGCGGGAGCCTCCGCCCACAGAGCAGGACGGCGGCAAGACCCTAGACACGTGAGGCTCAAAGTCTCGTTAAATCTCTTCCAAGTCTCCTACGCTTCTAAGACATGGTCTGCTTTGGCCCATTATCCCTTCAGTGCCTGTGCCTCTGGGGACAAGACTCCTCCCCAACCCAGAGGGTAAGTCTCGATGGACTCAACCCCATCACAGGAGAACCATTTCCTTGCCAAGGACTGGTGTAGACATAGGCATGTGACTTGGTTAGGTGGCATGTGATGATTCTGACCAATGAAATGTGGCAGGAACTGGGTTCCTTGTTCCTAAAGCACCCACCTGCATATGTGGGGAGAAACTTCCTTCTGCCCTGGGACACGTGTGGCAGCAGGTGATCCCTGGGGCTGGCGCGGCTGTCTTGTTTATCATGGGGAACGTGAACCAGGGACATGGAAACCCAGATTGCCGCTGGTCTTTGAACCAGCCCTGGAGTGCCCCACTTCAGAGGTCCTTGTTATGCAAGAGAACTCCCTTCCCTCTTGTTGACATTCCTGTAAGGGTGACTTGCTGCTGAGAGAACCATGATTGGCGTGGGGTCATCTGGTGGAGTGGGGACAAGAATACCACAAACTTTTCCAACAACTCTTAAGAAGACAGGCAGACAACCACAAGAAATTGCTGATGCTCCCTTTAATGTCTGAGGGACAGACGAACAGTGTTGGAGGGGACATAGTGTCACACACACATATGAATGGCATGTTGGACTTGGATCCTATGTGACAGGGTCCTAACTCACTGGCTCCTGGTCTACCTAATAACACGTGACCCTCCCAAGCTAACTGTACACAGAGAATTTAAGTCAAAGCTCCCTTTGTCCCCATCTCCCCAAAGCCCAGGCTCTCTGGGGCTCCCAGAGCTTTCTGGTCCTGATGACATGTGTTAGAGTTTATCATAAGCCCAGCTTTCCAAAAGGTGATGAACGAGGCCTTAAACATAAACACTTGGCTAACTGTGTGTCAACACCAGAACTTCTGTGTGGCAAAATTTTCCCTTTTGTTATTATTGTATTAAATCTGGTTGTGTTTTCCTGTGGTGGCTCTGGTGTCCTGTGCAGTAGTTGAGGCCCAATCCAGAGAAGTTCTCGACTGCTGGCCTGTGGGAGCTTCGGAGCTGCAGAAGCCACCTCCCCTGAGCAGGACTTATGGGGTGGGTCTGAGGGGTGATGGACAGACTGGAACACAGAGGCAGGGATGGAACACTGGGGGCTCTGCAGTCAGGGACTGAGGACGTGTCCTTGTCCCAAGGAGCAACAGGGTACTGACTCCAGGACCCTCTCATTTCTCAAGGGGGGTGACCTCTAGTGAGTGGGAGAGCAGCAGCTGGAGGCCCACACAGTGGCCTTTCTGGTTGCACTCCTTCCTCCTTCAGAGTCAGGCAGTACCATATCCGATGGGCTGTCATTCAGCCAGGAGGGTCACAGGAGACGAAAACCACAGGAAGTGCAGGCCGGGGCTGGCCACCTGTACAGGTTTCCCACCCAGGACCATGGCCCTGGAACAAGCTTTGGTTTCTTAGGATGAATTTCCAAGCCCTGCCACCTTGGGAGGCTCTCTTTTCCCTGCAGGGGGCGTTTCAAAAGAGTGACTGTGGTTCAGAGGGGTTCTGAGCTTTGGGATGCCGCACTGGACCATCCTGGGGGGAGGAACCTAGCCCGGCTCAGAGAAGGGTCTGTGGGCTGATGCTCTGCAATTCCCTGAAGCTCTGGTCCACCTGGAAAGKCTCATTTTCATCCCCAAGGAAAGTAGCAGCTGGGGTGGGGTGGGGGGGACTGTTCCCTCTTTCTGTGCCCTTGACCTTGTACACTTGGTTCTCAGTCCTGTCCGTGGGCTGCGCTGTAGTGAAGTCATGGTGTTTTCCTCTCTCTTGCCCTGTAGGGCCATGGGCTCTGTCTTGTCTCTAAAACCCCAGCATCTGGTGGCACAGGGGCAGTGGCCTGAGTGTTCTGAAGGTGTGAAGGGCTGGTCCAGGAAACTAGACTGACCCATAAGCAGCAGCTCTTCCCCAGCCCCMAAAGGCAATCAAAGCAGGTAGGCAGCACATGCAGAATAGGGAGGCCATCATTTCTAGATCTAGCCCTCATCTCATCTCAGAAACAAACGTCAGAGCACGGCTGGGGTCCCCTGCCCCTTCCCCTCCTTCCGGCTCCTTCACTTGAGATCAATTAATCCTTCAGCCTCGCAGGCTGCAGATTCCAAACCAGAAGCCAGCCTTCTCAGCCCGCCCAAGTCCCCTTCGCCTGCCAGTCGGCCCGTGACAGACAGTGCTGCCGCGGGAAGCCAGGAACACCCACGCTGCGAGGTCCTGGGGCCCTGACATGATGGAGTGCAGCCGAGGGCCCCGTGGACGCATTACACTCAATCACACCTCTCCCTCCAGCCGCCTCGCCATGACCTCGACGGAGGCCTGATTAAAACCCGTCCCTTCCCAGCTCTTCCCCATAATTTTGATCGACAACATTAAATGCTAATAGAAAAACATCTGATCTCGGATAAAACAAATGCCGACAGAAAGACGGATGCCGCGAACCAGCCATATGGCAGCCACCRTCCCCGCGCCGGGCCGTGTCACAGCAGCGCGTCTTCGCAGAAAGGGATGACGCCGCCGAGAAGCTCCAGGACCCGCGTGGAATAAATCATCGGAACGTGCCCAGTTTGCCGCGGGAGCAGGGTTTGCACACGCGGAGGTGTCTTAGGAGAAGGCGGCCCGAGAGCGTGTTGGASGTCCCCTCCTTCCCTTACCGTCCCTGGTGCCTCCTGTGTGCCATCCMGTCGGACCCCGGTCCCTCTCAAGTTGGCACGGCGCTCTTGGTGTCCCCACCCTCGGGGACCCCTTCGCCGTCTTCCCGTGTGGAATCCTCGGCCACTGGCTTGGTGTCCTCCARGCTGACCAGGGGAGACGCGGAGAGCTCCCCCGCGGAGGCCAGGCCCTGCGGGGACAGCCCCGGCTCGCTCCTSCGGCCCTCGGTGGGACTCCCTCYCCTGACCTCTTCCAGTCCAGCGGCYGCCTGTTCCTCTGTCAGTTTAATTATTTCCCTTCCAAGCCTGTTTGCTTCTCCTTCCGCAGAAGGTAACTGGGGTAATGAAGGATGAAAGTGCTCTCGCGGGTTCCCGGGGCTCGGATTTGCTGGGGAGCTGACAGCGGGGCTCGCAGCGTCGTCAGGCGCTGTCAACACCCCGGCRGCGGCGGCCAGGCTTTCGTCTCCTTCTTGCTTCTGAGCCTCCCCTGAAACAGAACGCAGACAGCCTCAAACCTTGGCAGCAAGTCAGCCCTCGCCCCTCCTCTCCTGCCAACCCGTGGTGACCGGCACAGGGACACCCAGGAAGAACCCCTCTTGCCCTCCCCTTCCATGCATTTGGGGCGCCCCTGCCCAGGGGAAACACTGGACCCACATTTAAAGAGTGAGTAAATGCTCTGGTGCTGGTTGTCACTGATGAAGGACACAGGGTGCACGAGTCACGTTCGTGATCCTTCTGCTTGAGGTGCCTGGCCACCTCCTCACCTCTACTGGCCTCCTTGTGACCAGACTGTCATTGGGCAGCTCAGGRAAGACCTGGGGCTTTTTATAGTAAAGGAAGGAGGCTCTGAGCGGCTCCAGGGTGAGAAACAGAAGGCCAGTGTGAGAGGGATTTAGTGTCACTGYGTCCCTTACTGTCCTCCATCAGCACCTCTGTTCTTTGATGTTTCTTTAATCTCAAAGAAAAGATTATGTGCAAAAGCAGCTTCATGTTCCCTCCTTCCACACTAAGTTACTGTCCCTGAACACCTTTTCTATGTGATGCAAATTCTACAGCTGCAACAAGAAGGGGCAGGAGACAAGGGGGAGCCCTGGATGCACCTTGTCGCTGTTTCTCTGCTCGATTACTTTGTAATCAGAAGGACTTGTCTGGCCTCTGATTCTCAGATACAGAGTGAGGGGAARGACTCCCTCGGGTGCCTCCCAGACCTAATGATGACAGACAGTGGCTTGGTGGAGTGATCTCGGAGGGCCCAGACCTGCGTCCAGCTGCAGACTGCTTCCCACAGCCCAGGTGTTCTTAGCCCTCGGGTAAAGCAGTGATGAACCTTACAGAAGAGCACAGTTGGGCCTGTTTAGTGCAGGCCCAGGCCCTGGCTAGGGGTGGAGGGCCACACTTCCTGGCCCTCCTGAACGGGGTCACAGTAGAACCCATTCTCACTGAGCTTGCCAKCAGACACGTGCAGGTGTGTTTTCAGGCTGCATGCTGGATGTGGGGAGCGGAAGAACAAGCAGGGGTGCGGACAAGGTGGAGCATGTTCTAAACAGGTCATTTGCTTGCTTAAAACTTTTTGCTTGGAGRCTCGGGATCAATTTCCATTCCTTTCACTTAGGTCTTTGCAAGGTCCTGTTTCACTCTACAGCTTTGGTTCCCAGGTTCACTCACATACAGGTGACCTTCCAGGAAGGGGACATGCCTTTTAGGTCTCTGATGACACCGTTCAGTTTCTCCCTTCTCTAWAGTGAACCCTGCCAGCTCACACATTGGTGAGCTTCTGTGCTGGGTACTGAGCTAAGCATTTGACAAGTGTAACTTATCCAAGAACTTTAAGTCCATGAGAACAGGAGCCTCGGCTGGCTGGTCCGCATTATGGGACACATTGTAAGCACTCAAGAATATTTTCAAAAATAGGCCTTACTTTTCTTTTTTAGTGAAAGTATAATGTGAGGAGATTGGACAAATCTACACAAGCATACAGCTCTGCATGACCAAGCTTCCYGTTACTACAGCCAATACCTGAGACATCTAACTTAGAAAGGCTTATCTGGCTCACAGTTTTGGTTKGGCCCATCACTTTGGGCAAGGCAGCACATYATGGTAGGAGTATGAGGTGGACCACAACAGCTGCCTCCTGACCAGGAAGCAGAAGAGAAGAGAGGAAGGGCCCAGGCTTCCACTGTTCCCTTCAAAGGCATCCCCCCCCCCCAATGACCTGAAGACGTCCCTCTAGGCCCCACCTTTTAAAGGTTTCACACCTCCCAGTAGCATCTCCTTGGGGATCAAGCCTCTAACACATGATCTTAAGATGCCACATAAGATCCAAACTATACTAAGAAAAATGAATTTTCTCAAAGTGAATACACTGACAAAACCAGAAACTGGGATGAGAAACAGAATATTACCCATCTCCTCCAAACACTTCCTATTCTAGTGCCCCCAGAATCCCTGCCTGGTCACTTCTCTAATCACTATCCTGTTTAGAATGTCCAAATCAGTTTGGCCTGGTCGCTGAACTTTATATACCAGAACCTGTGCACACCAGTCTCTGTCTGACTCCTTTTGCTCTATATGAGGTTTGTAGGATTTTTTCCCCGTGTTTAGAAGTGGTTCATTTAAACACACAATTYCCAACAAATATTGAATGAAAAACATTGAATGAAGACAGGCAATTCACAGGAAAAAAAATACAAATGGCCAGTGGGCACATGAAATGACTCACATCATCACACACAATTAACGTAATCTAAATTGCAACAGGTGGTTTTCCATCATCTCAACTGGCAAAAATTAAAAGGTTTTACAAAGTTCAGCATTGCTAAGGATATAGGGAAGTAAGGGCAATTATATAAAGTAAGAGAATGAAAAGTACCCACATGCTTTTATAGGTCATTTGGACATCATCTATCTCATCCTTAAAAGCATTTGAGAAAGTAATTCTATCATTAGGAATCTACCCAGGGAGATCAGCCCAAATATTTCAAGACATTGGCTCCTGGATGCTCAATATGTTTAATAGCATAAACATGGAAACAGCTCACCAACATGGGATTATGTACAGAAGTACTCTGACCAATTGTAAAATTCCTTCTAGAGGTACAGGTTGARCATCCCTTATTCTAAATGCTTAAGACTAGAAGAATTTCAGATATATTTTTTGAAACCTCTGCCCATACATAATGAGATATCTTAGAAGGGGACCCAAGTCTAAACATGAAATTCAGTCATTTCATACACACCTCATACACATACCACAAAAAGAATTGTATGCAATATTTTCAGTGCATGTGCATTTTGACTGTGACCCATGACATGAGGTCAAGTGCAGAACTCCACTTGGGGCATCATGTTAACATGCAAAAAGTTTCAGATTTTGGAGCCTTCCAAATTTCAGATTAGGGATGTTCAAACTATAGACACTAAAAAATGTTAAGTTGCCTCTGGGGAACAACAGACTAAGGACCAGGGCAGGAAGYAAGGGTGGAGAAGGCTCTGAATTGAATCGCACTTTTGGTGCTAYTTACATTTTTTTCTTTTTGCTATTTACATTTTTAACAAGAGCTTGTGTTACTAGTTTTAAAAAATAAGATATGCAGACTCCAAGAATCTGCTCTGATTTGTAGGCTGGGGAATCTACACCCACTGCTTCCATTTCCCGAGTCTGATTCATACCTTGGATCCTTCAACCTGACCTATGTTCTCCCCACCAGGGAGGTCGCATCACCAGCTCCTGTTCTCTTCTCAGTCCCCTCCTCTGTCTCCCTGGTAGCACCCATCTCCACTGGCYACACACCCCTCTCAATTTTCCCTGCCTGTGTTTTCTGGGACAATACCATGTTCTTTTGTTTCTCCTCCAAGCTAGTTCTGTGAGCATGCTGTATTAGTCTCCTACRGCTGCTGTAACAAATAACCACCRACTTCWTGACTTAAAACACCACAAATGGGTTCTGTTATAGATCTGGAGTTCAGAAGTCCAAGGTGGGTTCCACTGGGTGGCAGCCAAGGCCACACTTCCTTGGAGACCCCAGGGGAGGTCTGCTCCTGACCTCTCCCAGCTTCTGATGGCTGCCTCCTTCCCACCTTTGTCACCTTCTCTCTTTTTGCTTTCTTCATGTAATGACACATGTGACCATATTTAGAGTTCACCCAGATAATTCAAGATCCATCCATCAGTCATCTCTGTGAAATTCCTGTGCCAGAGGAGGTAGGGTTTATGGGTTCTAGGGAAATTCAGCCTGAAATCTTTGGGACCATTATCTGGCCTCATAGAAGTACCCTCCTAGTTTCCTTGGCTGATCCTGATATCTCCTGGACCCTCTCAGCAGTCTTCCCCAATGATGCAGCCTCTGTTTCACTTCCCTTCTTCATGCAGTGTCTTGCCCACTGGCCACCTTAACYCCTGCCCACAAGTGCAACTTCCACAGCTATATCCGTGGCTCTACCCCCTACCCTATAAGACATCCAGACCTAATGTTTCTGACTGCTGATTGGATCCTCTGCCTTGAAAACCTGCTGGCTCTTTCTGGAAGACAGTTTTCCCCCAGTACACCTCCTTCTGATGCCATGATGCCATTTCCATACTGCCCTGTGGTCACCTAGACTTCAGACTTGAAGCCACTTTAGTCTATCTAGCTCCTCTTCCTTTCCATCCATGATTAAGCCCTGCCCGTGTCCCTCTGGGTGATGAGCTGAATGCTGTGCCCTCTCCAAATTCCTGTGCTGATGCTCTCGCCCCCAACATGGTAGCTTTTGAGGTGAGAACTGTGGGTGGTGATCAGCTCATGAAGATGAGCTCCCCATGAAAGATTTAGTGCCTTTGTAAGACTCTCTGTCTACCACTTGAAGACATAGTAAGTAGGCAGCCATGCAAAAGCCAGGAAGAGTCCTCATCACTGAATCCACAGCCCCCTGAACCGGGACTCCCCAGCCTCCAGAATGATGAGAAGTTAATATTTGTTGTTTAAATCAGTAAATACATAGTATTCTTCTAGAGCAGCCTGAGCTGGCCAGGCCACTGCTGTCTGCCTCTGCTCACTCTTCCTTCTCAACGTAAACCACGGGTCAGCCGTCTAAGGTCCCTCCACATCAGGGTGGTGGCCAGTTTCCCCGCAGCTTGGCTGGACATGACCTTCATACACCATCTCAGCCAGTGTACCGGGAAGCATTCAGACCGCAGATGCAAACCAGGCTGGATATTTCAGACCCTCAGACCCCCACGGGTGACAGGTATGCGGTAACTGTCCATAAGGATTATATATAAACTTTGAGGATTACTTGATTTAGAAAGATCATATAGTCAAGACGGCATAAATCTAATGTTTTTATACTTCAAGTTTTTACCTAAAAAGAAGGTATAATCTAAAAAGATTGAGTTGAAATGCAGTTAACACATAACAATGCAACATATAATTGACGTCATATTATCTATGATCCAGTCAATTTTATACAATGCATAAAAGTTTTTATGAATTTGAGCAACATGTAGTTTCG